CCTTTCTTCTCTTGAGGTACAAACAACGGGGTGTGAATGTGAACGGACTTGGAGGCTGGAGAGCTGCGTCAGGAACCTCATTTTGTTTTTCACTCCCTAGTTGACCCCTGCAGCTCCCACGTGTGGGTTTGGTGTGGGTTTGCTGGGGGAGCCGGATTATCTAGAGACGAAGCTGCCCTCGCAGACAGATGGCTTACTTTTCCTTTTCTGAGAAAGGACTGGGATGCCAAGAGTCTTCATCTTTGCCCTAATTGTTGCTAATTCTCTGTGTGATTTTGAGACCACCAGTCTGACACTAATTTTTCCATCTGTAAAATGGGAGGCTTGTACGAACTTCAACATATTTTCAGAAATCTCTTTCTAGTTAGTATTTATCTTTAGCATCCCACACGAATTTCCATCCCTGGCTCTGCATTTGCTGAGAGTTAATTCAGGCATCTGACTGAGCCTAGTTTTCCACAAGCTGACCAGACGTCCCCCAGCTTACGCAGGAGAAGCAACATGGGTGATGCTGTGGGGCCCATCATTTGAGGCCACCTGTTTCCTGCCAGGGAAGCCCAGGGATGAGTGAACTCACGACGCCCTGTCGGTCAATAGGGTTGGCCTTCTCCAAGATGGCACCTGTGAAGGGGACGCCATCTTCCATCAGTCTGTTTAGTTCTCGTCTGTGGGACTGATGGCCATGCGCCCTTTCCCCATTTGCCCAGTTGAGGCAACGGATTGAAGCTTTCAACACTTTCAGTTGCTCACTCTGGGAAGCCTTGGAGTGGGGTCTTGAGTCAGTCTGGTCTTCATATTGTGTGTGTGTGTGTGTGTGAGACATGCCCAAAACATTCAGATGGGAAGAGTGTCAGATCAAGAATGTTCAGCTGGAGATAGATAGATACTAGATCAATAAGCACATTTTTTCCCTAATTTTATCTGTTTGGTTTCCTCTCTGCCAATGCTTCTTCCTTGCTACCCTCTACTGCCTGTTAATTAGTCTCCTAGTGTTGCAGCAAAGTGTGTTACAGCTCAGTGTTATAGCTCAGTTGTGACAGCAACCTGGATCTGGGCAAGAGACCAAGCAGCACTCGGAGGGTTGGAGAACTCAGGTTTATTATGCCAGTGGGCCCAGAGGAGTTAACATTGCAAGCTCTGGACCCCGTCTGTAGGTTTATACAGGCTTTTATAGGCTACCAGTCTAGACTTTGCAACATTTTGTAACATCATATGCAAATAAAGTATAACAAAGGTGACTATTTAGGAACAAGCTTTGTAGAAATGGACCAATCAGGAGTGAGAGAAATGGACCAATCAGGAGTGAGGGAAATGGACCAATCAGGAGTTAGCTCAGGGAACTACTAGAATCCTAGGGGTCAGTTCTGCTTTCCTAGAAGTAAGCCATTTCAGAGTTTAAAAAAGCGAGATAATGCCGCAGGGCCAGTCAACCGAATGGTGCTGGCAAGAGGGTAGTGGCCCTGCCTGGGGGTCCTGCCGTCTTTTTCATGGGGCTTCCCACCTCACTAGAAGATCAACTTTGTTGGAAAAATCAAGTCACAAGGCTAAGTTTTCCTATGGTTACTCCCCCTCCATTTCCATGGCGGTTTCTTTGGTTTTGGAGGGGGGTTATGAAAAGCCTGGGAAGCCTGGGGCTCTTGAAGGCTTTCTTTTTTCCTTTGTTAAAATTATTTTAAAATTGATTACCAAAATACATGTGTTCATTATGAAAAAATTAGAAACTTGCAGGCAGCCAAACCCAGGTGGGTTGCTGACCAGATTGGCCCCAGTCCTCCTTGCTGTCCCTCTGGCCAGCTTCAGGGCCACACCTTCAGAGCTGTCACCCCCATGCCAGCTACCCGCCTGCCCTCTCTTCTGGGCTTGCAGGATATCCAGGGTGCCTGGCAGGACTTCTTGTTCTGAGGCAATGGGCCTGGACCAAGGAATTGTGTATGTCAGAACCCCAGACAGAATCTTTTAAACCTACAGGTGTAGAATCTGTGGGTCTAATGGACAGGTAGAATTTTTTTTTTTAATTGAGGTAAAGTCAGTTACATTGTGTCAATTTCTGGTGTATAGCCTAATGTCCCAGTCATGCATCTTTGACAGCTTTCAGGTCAGCCTGAAGCAGAGCCAGGGTCAGGAACTTGCAGGCTTTGCTCCACTCAAGTGAACGTCCAAAGTTGTGCAGAGAGACGTGAGATGTGGGTTACGTTATGTAGGCAAATCGGGCAGAATGGGCTGTGGATTGGAGTGGAGGGAAAAGGAAAGCTGACTGTGAGATATCAGAATTCAGAGTAACATGTTGCCTGTCAATGGGGTGTCAGATCCTTCCCTGAGAATAGATTTTGACAGAGGGAAGGAGAGGGGTTGAGAACTCTAACTTCCAGGGTGGGAATGAAATGTCAGAAAGAGGGAGGGAGGTATCACCCTGTGAGGGGAGGCCAGGTGTGGCCCAGCCACGACCTGTGGCTTCTGTTCACAGCCTTGCTCACTGCCCACCTTGTTGGGTCGGGCCGTGTTTCCCTTCCCAGAGAACTTTTAATACTAAAATGGGAAGAGGGACTTCAAAACACACCTTTTCAGCTTTCTCCGGGACCCCAGGGGCCCCCATGAGAAGATGCTCATGGGCCGGTCACTGGTCTCCTCACCCAGTCCTGGGCGTGATGCTCCCCCAGGCAGTGCTCTGGTCAGCCCCCCCCCCCACTGTGGGAACTTGCAGGCAGAATCATTGGAATGCTCTAGTTTTGGAAAAGAAGGGCCCAGACCTCTCATTTCATACCTCACAGGCCATAGGGAGCCCCTTGTACCTGCACAACCGGGGCTGGACCAGATTTCAAGCATCTTTGCTGTGTCATTTGTATCCACAGCCACACACCTGGGGGATCCTAGGGAACTCTAAAGAATATAAATTTTAGAAGTAACTTTTTTGGTGTGTTCTCATGTAAGTGAGCTGGTCATGCCAACATCTAAAACCAGTCGCTGCCCAAGGAGATGAATTCAGGAAGTCACTCTAGTTTGATGATATTGACTAATAGCCATCTCTGATAGATGTCTTGGTAAACGTCTTCTGCAATGTTTTCAGCTTTGAAAGGAGTCCCTCTAGCAGCCAAGTGTTACGTATGGAATAGCTGAGTTATGAAAGGAAGGTCTTATGTGGGGGGACTGGGCATACCTGTTGGAAATGTGGTTAATCTTGGCTAACACTGCTAGTTGTTATTAATACGACCTGTGACAACTAAAGCGATTACGTTGTTATGGGCAGAACGAGTAACTGACAGTGTTCTCTTACTCCTGGGGGTACTGCACACACCTGACTATGTGTTTTTCTTTTAGGACAGATTTCTGCGTACACAAAGATGAACCTTGCGACACCGTTGGTAAGTTTAGAGTTAAAATAGTAATCTAAGGGGCTGATACACCCTGTGATAATGTGGAGACTTGACAACACTTCCAGTCTGGAGGAGCCGTCCTCAAACAGACTCTTTTCTGTTGCTTTTTTTGTTGTTGTTGTAAATTTGGTATTTTTAATTTAATTTAATTTAATTTAATTTAATTTAATTTTATTTTATTTTATTCTTTCCTGAAAAGTTTTGCAATTGCTTATGACAAAAGGCATCTAGACAAAGAGTTAATAAGGAAGATATGAAAAGTTAAATCCAAGGGGAGGAACCCCCAGGCTGCACCGAGGTGACTGCAGTTGGGTGGCATTTGGCTCTGAGCCTCTTGGTCACCAGTGCGGGAGTTGGGGGGCTTTACTGATTTGCACGGTTTACGTGATAGTCATGAGACAGAAGTTTCACCAAGTGTCCTAAGACGTGAAGAGTGACAGGTCTTCTCCCCCAGCCTTGGCACCAGGCTCACTGCCTTCTGATCAGACCGTAGTGATGCCAACATGCAGAACTGGGAAACCGTTTCCCTCTCGCCTGCCCCCTCTCCTCCGCCTCTTCCCTGCCCTCCCCTTCGCTTGCCATTTCCTTTCTCTCGTATCCCTAGTTGTATCTGGCTCACTTTGACCTCAGACTGTTACTGAGTCCAGGCTCGTTCTGCTCGCCGCATGACAGGCCAGTAAATCGTGAGACAAGGTGTCGGGGCAAGGAATAGCGACTTTATTCGGAAAGCTGGCAGACCAAGAAGATGGCTGACTAACGTCCTGGAGAACCATCTTCCCCAAGTCAGAATTCAGGCTCCTTTTGTACTAAAAAGGGGAAGAGGGTATGCTTGGTTGTTGCAAACTTCTTATTGCAGGAATTCTTTGTTCTTGCAGCTGTCCACGTGGGTCAGGTCATGGTGCCCCTGGAAAATGTCTAACAAAACAAATGTTATTTTCTGTTCTGCAACTTGTTATCTTTATATAAGTGCAAAAGTGTTAATATCCTTAAAGATCAGAGCCTTGAGAACAGGCTCTCCTGTATATTTCAGGCTAAAGGCGACATTCTTTTACAAAAGGTGCAATGCAGAGCTAGCAAGACTGAGCCTAGAAAACAGGACCCAGGGTTAAAGCCAAAGAACAAGATCTAATATGGAGTCAGATTTGTTCTTTTCTATTACAGAATTACTAGACCAATGCAGTGTCAAGTAGGCTTCAGATAGAGGGTTAGCTGACACAGGTCTGAGTCCGGTTGGGGCTGTGGGGGACTAGTATATGTCAATCTCTTCCACTGACAGGGCTGCCGAGGCACATGCTATCTGGAGGAGGGCCTCCTCCTTCCCAGGGCTCACAAGTCAGCTCTGACACCCACCGCCCTTCCCAAGAAGGGCTTCTACTCCGTGCTCTCCTGCTCCCTGTCTTTGCCCCCATGGATTCATGGATCCGTCTTACTCTTGCCTGCACGTCTTCCCTGGAAGACTTTGCAGTGCACAGAGCAGAGTCTGGCTTTAACCTGTACGTCGTGTCCTTCAGCGCCTGGCACAGGGCTGGAGAGGCTCGGTCACCACTGTTGATGGAATAAAGGAATGGATGGACGAATGCGGGTGGAGGAACTCCAGGGTTTTTGAGCAACATCCATCTGAGGACATGGTTTCCTTTCACGTGATTTAGAGCCTGCTTTTAAATTTTCTGCCATGAATTGCCATTATGTATTTCAGACTCCTTGCAGAAGAGCAGGCAGATCGCTCTCTCGAGCATCCTTACCTCGTGTCAACCATGTCATCACACTATTTGTGTTTGTCTGCTGGGGCAGCCATAACGGAACACCAGAGACTGGGTGGCTTAAACAACAGAGGGTTATTGTCTCTCAGTTCTGGAGGCTAGAAGTTCAAGATCAAGGTGTCAGCAAGTGCTGATTTCTCCTGAGGCCTCTCTCCTTGGCTTGCAGGTGGCCAACTTCTCCCTGTGTCCTCACCTGGCCTTCCTTCTATATGTGCCTGGATCCTAATCTCCTCTTTATAAGGATATTAGTTATATTGGACCAGATCTCTACACTCATGACCTCATTTAACCTGAATGACCTCTTTAAATTTCCTGTCTTCAAATACATTCACACTGGGAGTTAGGGCTTCAACTTACAGATTTGGGGGTACATAATACAGTTCTTAACATGACTTGTTTGATACTTGACCACATACTTTTGGCGACATCTGGTCTCCTGATCTGATCTTCCCAGTGTGTGTGTCTCTCATGTCCAGAACATGAAGGTCTTTAAATGGCATTGACCAGATGTACTGATTCTTTACATGACTGCTGGTTAGCTCAGGGATGAACCAGCCCCATCTCCTGCTTTGTATTGCATGTTCTTTCCAATATCTCAGTGAGCTTTAGCTTTCACAAAGAACTGAATCAACTCCTTTAAAAAAAAAAAGCTGTAAAACCTACATGGTATTTGATTAGTACACATTTGTCTTAATGTCATAATATACATATTATCAAGTCAGTAAGAACAGTGGGTGATTCGATGAAAATAATAATTTGGAAAGTGGGATTAGAGCAATCTTAAAGCAGTCTCATCCTATTTATTTCTGTTTTTTTAACCTTTATATTTTGGAAATTATAGAATTGCTGAAAACTGTCAAAATAGTGCAGGGACGTCTCTTGTACCAGTCATCCAGCTTCCCCTGATGATAACATCTTATGTAACTGTAGTGCATTTCCCAAACCAGGAAACTGATTGGCACAGTGCAATGTACTAGACTCCAGGTCTTACTCAGGTTTCAGTGGTTTTTGTATGCACTCATTTTTGGTTATGTTTTAGCGTGTGGTTCTGTGGCATTTTATCACGTGTAGATTTATCCATCCACCACAGCAATCGGGAACAAAACTGGTCTCTCACCTCCAAGCAGCCCCTCGGGCTGCCTCTGTAGTATCACCTCCTCCCCACCGCCTCTCTCTCTTGCCCTAACCCTGGCTACCACTTATCTGTAACCCAGCTCTGTAATTTTGTCATTCCAGCATCCAATTTATTTTTGTATTTTGGTTTGATTCCACAGTTGGAAAAGTAATCTGAATCCCATAGACATGGGGTTGCCAGTGCTAAGAGATTTTGAACATCTGCCTTCAAATCTCTGGATCCAGCTCTCGCAGGAGGGGTTGCACCCTAAGTTCTGCAGAAAATGAGATAATCTGGTACCTTGAGCTTGGGTGTCACCAGTGTTTTTATATTTGGCATATAATAATGTTTTTTGTTTGCTTTGTTGTTTTAATTAGGGTCTAACTTACAGATAGTAAAAAGTACCAGTCTTGATGGTCTGGTTTTTTTTTTTCTGTTTATGGCTAGTCTTGTTTTTAGTATTTATCTTATTTATAAATAGTTTTAAGGCAGTGTTTTGAATTGTGTTTTAATCAATTTTTTTAATTGTGGTAAAATATATATAACATAAAATTTACCATCCTAGCCATTTTTAAGTGGACAGTTCCCTGACATTAAGTACCTCTACATTGTTGTGTAATCATACGCCTATACTCTGAAAACCACTTCTCAGATTAAGATATGGAATGTTCTTGGCTCCCCCAAAGGTTCACTCATGCCTGCTCCAAGCCCCTAGAGTTACGTCCCCAAAGGTAACCTACTATTATAAATGTTTTAATTACTCCTTTTTAAATAGTTTAATTTTTAAAAATAGTTGATTTCAAGGTTAAATTTGAACAATTCATTTGAAGAACCTCTGAGGTACTGAGTAGAGTTTGGGGTTCCATGAAAAAACTTGCCTTCTGTACTGCCTCGAGGGCATTAGCCAGTTTCATCCAATGGGATGTCTGATTGTCGAAACAAGCAAAAAGGGCATTTATCAGAAGAGTGACTGTCCCTGAGGCTGGAGGACCAGGTTGGAAACAGACAGCACCCGAGGGAGCCCTGGAGGGCAAGGCCGCAGACTCCACCCAGAGATTGGCATCAGGGCTGTGGTGAATGGTCTCCGACGGCCCCCGCTGCCACCATGTCACCAGCTCCCAGTTCCAAGTCTTGCCCTCGGTCACATGGCCTGCCCCTCTGTCTGTGCCCCTGCACGAGGGTGAGGGAGTGTTGCCCTTTGGGCTTCTGTGGGGGACGCAGTGGTACCTCCCACAAAGGGCATGAGAAGGGAGTTCTCCAGAGAGGGCCTGGGTGCTTTAGCTGGGGAAGGTCAGATGTTGGATGGCCCAGAACGACCAGTGTCTCCTACGCCCTTGACCTTGTAGTACAGAATGGAACACAAAGCTGCAACATGTCCTTTGTGCGCATTACGGGGGTCCTGCTGACATAGGCGAGGGGGCTTCCTTGGCCCTGATTTTGAGGTGATCCTGCCTCCTGTGGGGGAGGAGTCCCCATGTCCCCACCTCACCAGGCCCCTCCACGCTGGCAGGGGCCGGACTGAAGAGCCGCGCGCATGCCCTTTGGGAGAATCACAGCGGACACACCCTCCTTGCCTCCTGGGCCGCTATGGAAGGGGAAGGGGTGACACCTAGGAGTCCTGCTGGTCTCCACTTTGGGGGAGGACACACACAAGGAGAAAGGCAACTCTTGGGGCAGGAGGATCTGGGAAACACAGGCTTCTGCCCTCTCAGAAGTAGCTGCTCCCGCGCTGTGATCCCCATGGTGCACGTCTCAGACCCGGCCTTTGGGGCAGAGGGCTTTTTCTCGGTTGAATTGCTTCCTCCTGCGTGATGTGCCTTCCTGCCACCATCCTGATGAGGAAGCCGCCCTAGGTGAGGAGAGGGTGACGGGGGTACAAGATCAAGTAAGTGGGAGCCTTGCTGGCCCTTTGCCGTCCTGGTCCCGACACACGCCTCTGGGCCCCTCCCAGGTGCTTCCTGAGCAGCCACGTCTCTCCCTGTGGCCTGGCTGCCCAGACATGCCTTAGTTACAGCCAGGGGACAGTGGACGTTTGTCCTGTTTCTGTCCTCAGCCGTCAGCTGAGTTGTGGTGTTTTTGTTTTTTGTTTTTTGGTATTTTTGACTGCCTGATTC